TAAACTTGCTGCATAATGACTTCTACCAACACAGATGAGCTTTCAATATAAGCTTATAACGGCGTTTTATTTCAGCCAGGCGAAGACAAAATCGAGTAAGCAATGATATAGAAGAACTTTATTTCACGACAATTGCACATGGTACAATGCATGGCAACAAGTATTGAACAAAGTACAAAAAGTATAGAATAATACGGTGTAGTGTAGCCAGCTGCCGCCGCGCCGCGTGGCTGCGAAGCTGGTGTCTTACGCCGAAGGGCGGTTATACAGGCTATACCGATACAGATAGAGAAGATTGCCTTCAATTTCCTGTCATTATTAATCAATAATTGAGAATGTCTAGTTTGCTAGAAGCACCGTGTTTCACACTATCCTTTTTTTTCCCGTATCACGTTCGTTTCACTATCTCTCACTGGCCATTGTTTTTGTCAAGTTACTGAGAAATTGATAGACTCACATACAGAATCCATTATATACCGCAGGGAGCTTTTGCCTTGCACTTTGAAAGCTACGCAAATCGCGGCATATGGCATTATTATGGTATCCTGTGGCCCATGACATTCATTCAAGCATTTTGCCACGGGCAGCTGAGTTGAATGAACTTTTGATAACACTCCGAAGGTAACCTATTCACCTTTAGACCTTGCCATAGTGTGTGTATATCCGGCGTGGATGCCTAGAACCGTGATTACACCCGCAAGGCAAAAGATTGCTTGGGTGACAGATGGTCGCACCTTTAATCGACCTCACGAAGCCAGAGCTACTTTCTAACCAGCGGTTACACACGGTTTAGAGAGTGGGAGGAGGGGGCGGGTGTATCTACGGGGGTCAAATGGATATAGGCTACCCAACTACCATGTATAGAGTCATGCCCTCGACGAAATCTGCTTGGAGATTAGTTGAACCAACCGACTTTACATGGTGTCGGGAGGAATAACGATTATGGTTCGATTTTTAGTTTCTAGTCCAGTTATTGACGAGCTACATTTTCATTCAGAAAAAAAGTTTTGCTCTTTAATTTGTAGTCCTACTTTTTGATGAGCTACATGTTCATTCACAAAAAGTTGCGATCGTAAATTTCTAGTCCTACTTTTGATTAGCTACATTTTCATTCAGAAAAAAAGTTTCGCTCTTTAATTCACAGTCCTACGTTTTAATGAACTATATTTTTTATCCAGATCTTAAGATCTTAAGATCAGACCATGCGGCTGCCGGAAACCAGGGATAATTAAAATGATCCATTAGGACGCACAAAATGCCTGGTTATATAAAAAGGATGTGGAACTTAAAAGACTTTTAATATGCAAGATTGGCAACCCTATTCTCTATGGGGCCCATGAAAGCACTTCTTACGTCAATGGGCTGCATACGGGTCTGCTGGTAATCACGATAATACAGCTGCGAAACGGACAAAAACTGATGGTAATTATTTTCTGCAAGTATTAGAAAAAGGCTGCCAGATATTCTTTCTGTCCTAGACCAATAGAAGCCTAACTTTCTGAAGATTCTCAATGTCTGCTGCCATACAGGATGCAGCTTAAGTACATCCATGACTAATATCGTCGCCAGTATATGTTACTTCTATAGATGTCCTTTTAGCATGACGTATACTAAGAGACCAACTTTAAGTGCGTGTACGTCAAACTCTATCCGTACCTTTAGCAAAGTGTGCATAATCGATTCCTGGTTGTGGAAGGAAGATGCCGCTGTACTCTTGTTTTAAATGACTGGAGGTAATTGTCAGCTATCAGGCCGATCACGTTGTCTGGGAGACTGTTCCAGATGTGTACTGCAGTATGTATGAAACTTCTGCCGGTGGAGTGAGTTCTAGAGACTGGCCCAATAAGGGTATGTTTTTCAGTGGATTGACTGTTGCGAGTTGCGTTGCGAGTTGTGTCTTATGATTGTGCATGGTTGGGGAAGCATCTTTTTCAGGTCTGGTGGTTATGTGAACATGTGCATTTTGTAGATCAGAGAAACAGCGGCAAACTGACGTCTGTGGATTAATATTAGTGATGGGATGATCAGCTCAGTTCTTGTGACGCATCAATATCCTCGTGTTCATTCTATATCTGTATTGTATATCCGGTAGAACGACCCTTTCGCGTAAGGCTTCAGATTAAAACCCTTTTTGGTGCAGCTGGCTATACTAAATCAATCAACCTATCCTGCAACAAGTAATCCCTGCACACCTAAGTTCAGGCGTTGTTCAAAGTACATCCGATGAGTGTGATCCTACACTCATAGGTCACCTCACCGTTAAGACCGAGGGTTGCAGTATTCTATTTGCATTTAATAGGAAAGTTGTGATGGCGCTGCTTTCCTGAGAAGGATTCTAACTGCAAATTTCCAAATTTCAACTTTCAATTCACGAAAAGGGTGAAGCATTGACCCATACCCATATAATTTCCACAATGTGAAGCCAAAACTACCAAACTAAGGCTCTTCTTGAAACATTATTCTATAAATTCTAAGTATATATGCTACAATATATTTCTGCACACTTGTTCATGTACTTCTACGTGTAGCTAGAACCTTGCAGTTGCTGTAGACCAATGAATAGCCATGAGTGGTACAACCCGGGCTGTTTACATTAGCACATTATAAGAAAAAAGAAAGAAAAAGGAGCCCTTAATTTTACTCTCACGATTTATTAGATAAACATAAATAAGTGTCCGCATATAGTATATACATATAGAAGTATTAATTGTAAACCAGATACGACTAACACATTCATTGACTTCGTCAATCATTGTCAGCTATATTCTCAAATATCCCGGACCTCAGGTACTGACAAAGTTCACTGTGTGTCTCGTCTGTGTGCAGCAATATTCATATTCCGATGATAAAATTGTATACATAACTATATGCAATCAGTTGACACTTTCTTTTCATTCCTCTCGAAATATAACTTGTACATGGCCTTTCTCTACACCTTGATATTTGATTCCAAATTTTAAATCATGACACACTTCATAGATTTTAAATCATGACACACTTCATAGATTTTAAATCATGACACACTTCATAGATTTTAAATCATGACATGACACACTTCATAGATTTTAAATCATGACATGACACACTTCATAGATTTTAAATCATGACATGACACACTTCATAGATTTTAAATCATGACATGACACACTTCATAGATTTTAAATCATGACACACTGCAAAAATGTTAAATCATGACACACCTCATATATTTTAAATCATGGCACACTATATAGATTTTCAAGAACACAAGTGATAATTGATAACGTACATGACTTACATCAAGACATCGGTAAGTAATCTGTCATGTGTGCATTGTGGTGTAATGTGCTAATTTCTTTATTGTACGTCTATTGCAAAAACACAAACCCCAAAAATACGTGTTCACAGCTTCATTGATAAAGTCTAGAAATACTGAAAATTATCCAACCTATCAAAGATGATATGATTGTCGTCAACTACAGCACTGATCTATCATTAATATGACGTATTATCTACATTCTACACTTTAAAATAAAGTCAACGTTACCTATTGTTTAACAGTCGTTTCACCAACACTGGTACCTGATCCATCAGTGACCGTTTATATTTCCTCACATGGCCATGAATAACTTATATTAAATAATACCATACATAGGACCACTAGGACATGTATACAACACCATTGTACAGTATGCAATATTGCTAAACTCATTATAATAACATTCATTTCATTTATTTTTGTAATATCTTCTTTTACTACATCTATATACAAGACATACATTAAGACCCATCAAAGCACTACAATATACTAAATCTTTCCACGGTAAACTAGACACATACCTTTAATCATTCTTGAATAATTTTCACGTTTTGAATAAGCATATATACAACAAAACTATTACTGATATCATCTTGAAATACATTTTTAGAGATACAAGCTTTGACTTCTAATCCAACAAAAACGATTATCTTATTGATATGAATACTTTACTAAACCGTGTTGTTACTTTTCAGCGTACTTTAATTTTTTGTTTTCACTAAAAACCATCAGTAGTATTAGTAGATCATTGCTTGTACATTATTGTCGTCCATGTATGAACAACTATAACTTGATTCATCAATTAAATCTTAGTAATAGGCAAATATAATCAAGATTATGCTCAAATCCTTAACGCTCAAAAATAATGGAGGATTTTAAAGTGTTGTACAGTTGGTCCACGTAAAATCTGTAGGTCCACTTTTCTCATAATTTTGTTTTAAAGTGTCAATAATCTGTTGAATTCTTTTATCATTTGATACAAGGAGTGCCCTTATGATTAAAGGACTTAACTTTTTTCCTGCTTCGCCGCTCGCACTGATCTTTGAAAAATGGCATCTCATCTCGTTTGAGGTTCCACCAGGGGCAATCTGAGCCGGACGGGTTAACCACTTTCGAAATTCTCTGGCGGCCAACCGGAAAATTGATGGCTACTCCGGCTCTGCGCACCGGCGTCTAGTCAAATTTTTGATGCACCAATGATTTTCAACATGGGAGCGTGTGATCTATTTCCACCTTTTTTACTTACATACATGTATATACAATCCTCTACCACAATGGAATTTGATATTCCAATTGTGATTGGTACGTTTTCTGCATTTACAGACCGGAGGTAAAGGTGGTCATTCCATAATTCTTATATAATTTATAATCATTATACCGAAGACCACTCGCCTAGTGATTTTTTTCAATTTTTTTTTATTCCGATGTTTTATTTACAAAGTGGCGCTGCACTCAAGTTGAGCAACTTATTTTGCCAGTGCCACAAAAAATTTTTTTAAACATTCCGGTGAACTAAGCTACGCATCTTTCCAAACATCTAGAATAATGTTTGAAACTTCTTGACTACAATCTATTGAGCCTTTGGCACTTTCCTTCTACAAAGACTATTCAAAATCATAATATAGGCTTTTGTCTCCATGGTGTTGTGTTTATCCAACTTGCCTGAACAATTCTAAAAACCTTATTAAGTTTCATTTGTTTAGATATAGTGTTGTAGAGGAAAAAAGTAAATTGCTCTGTCATCCGTACTCTCTATGTACAAGTCGTAGTTCAAAATACATTATTTACATGTCTTAATGATTATCCGTCACAAATAATGAGGCAGTGTCGGTCTACCTGTAGGTTATATTCCCTTTATACATAGTTTCAAATATGTAATTTCATCTGTCATAATTCCAACGGTTAGCCAAGACCGTCAGAGGTATCTCTGTAAAATATCAGAGAGATAATCCGAATTTCCTGATATATTATTTTTTTTGTCTGCCTGCGTCTATAATATGCATTGTCCTCCCTGGCATCCGTCCAACAGACCAACTGCCTGCTGGCTCAGTCGGTTTCTGAAATATAACTTAATGTGTCTGTCCTTTTGGAATCTGTAGGTTGGGAATCCCCACACACACGCTATTACTCAACAGTACGGACACACAAGCAATAACACACAAGCATACTAAAAACAATACCTCGCGGAGGTAAATAGAACGATTAATTTTAAGATATCTGCTAAATGCAGCATGAGTAATCCTCGAGTTATGCACGTTTCATATGTCCAGGGTTCAATACAATTTTCTTGAGAAGACCTGGATAACACCAAATGTTTGAGATGATTTTAGGGTTACCGTAAAAGGTGGAATTATGAGAGTTACCGATATATTCTTACAGAAACGATAACTAGACAGTGCTGACAGTCTGTTCTATGACTGTGCCGTTGTTGAGCCGGTCTTCCAGCTGTACCTTGTACAACACGCGCGGCGGCGTGTCCTTGTATGTATTCCTCTTCTTCAGATTCTTCTTGGTGACTTTCTGCTTCAGGTAGATGTATGCGAGCCGCGCTCTCACCCGAGGGTTGCGTCGTTCGGAGATATCCTTTAAGTCCGGAGGTGGCCTGGAATACACATAAAACACCACTCTGTTACTAACTTTACATCTTTACTGTGCCATGAATTCAAGTCATATACATGTGACACATCGTGTACAACCGACCATGTCACCAAGGTTCCTCTACTACCAAGTAATTACTTTGCCAAGAAGGTTATGTTTTCCGTAGTGTTTGTCCGTTTGTCTGTGAACAGCATAACTCAAGAAGATTTATATAGATTGTCATGAAACTCAAGTTGGTTGGTGGGTAAGTCTTGATGAGACCGAGACCTAAACATGATTAGATTTTAAACCCCCTGACTGCTTTCGTTGGTACTGCAGCAGAACTTCCGGGAAGTACTAGAATAGCCTTGTTGTTAAGATAATGCTGTCATTGAGAGGAGAATATGATAAGCTGACATAATCCATGAAGGAAAGGAAATGAGGATCTTATTTTCATATCAATGACAAAAATGTATCATTTCGTCAGTCGGGACGGTTAACATCATTTGGCGAAGGTATGTTATCGTGGAACTCTTGTTCCAGATTGATGTTAGTGCAGGGCATGACCAATGCTCTTAACTATTCGTAGCGGATGTGTATCTAAGTTAAATACTGCACCAGGGGTAAGGTGATGTGGCACTAATATCTCCAAAATGAAGGAACCACCATAAATACGGATTGGGGTCATGGAATCACCGGCACAGGAGACGACACCTTAGTAAAGTATGGCAGTAATTTGTAGATGAATAATCTCTCGGGAAAATCTTGGACGAGTTTTACCTCGATTTCCTTCTGAAATCTGTGCCACATACCCGTAAATTAGATTTTATGAATTGCAGGTATCTAATGATCTGACCTTTTATTTTCTAATACATCTTGGGTTTGATCTAAGGTTATTAGAATCGGTTTGCTTTTATCAGGCCCGCCACTTCAAAATGATAATTTGCAGCGATATCCAGTTATTTATAAGGTATTGTGCGTAATGTGCTATCATTTTCAGCAGTCGCAGTGAGGTTACAGTACACTATTCTATACTGATCTCAATCTCAAATAAAACTAGCATCCCATTTGTCCAGTATCCCCTGCGCTGATGACAACAGGATTTAAATTTAACGATCGCGTCAACGTGGCGCCTTCGGGTGTAAAGGAAACGGGGTGATCCTAACAGGATTATCTGAAAGGATTTCAAACTAATCTCATTTGACCTTTCGGTCTGATCATGACATGTAAGCTGGATATATATTAGAGAGGACTAAGGTTGAAATATAATATCCTAAATCGTCAATCCTTAGCCTCACACGTGTCAACAGAGACACTGTGGCGTCTGCATGGTGGCGTAGTGGTATGGCGTTCGACTTTGAAACGGTGAGACCCGGGTTCGATCCTGAGTTGTACCCGGGACATGTCTGAACATGCGCCCCAACGTTGTGCCCCTGGGAAAGGCACTTTACACGACATTCCTTACTCCTCCCAGGTGTGAATGGGTACCTAACTTGGGTTGGGGAAAGTCGTATTGAGGTCACATGGTGGTGCCGAATGGCAGCAGAGACCCTTTTGACAGTTCCACAAAAAAATGTGCAGCAAATATGTTATATATATGATGTGTACTAGCCCCGCATCAATTTGGCGCTATGAAAGGCTGCGATTGCACGGGTAATGTTTGACCAATAAACCATTGATTAAGCCCGGATATATATAAATTAAGGAGTACAATTCTCACCACGACGAAGTTCTTCCTATCCCGGCATTCCTTTCGCCGACCTCTGATGTTGTACATGTGGAATGATCAGAGGATGGGGTAGGGGCGGCGAGGATGGCTCCTGCGCATGTGCGGAGCTCCAGATCATCAGGGCGGTGTAGTCTGCAACCGTTCATCGTCTGTATAGCCACGGATCTTTAAAACAATAACAATAAATTAGAATTGGATATAGAACGTCAATATGTAATCCTGACTTGACGGCGACATTTTTCTCGTCAGTCAGTTATAGAATTCACTCTTGTTTAATAAATTTTTCTGTAATGCAGCAGATATGCAAGTAATTTAAACAATCATGCTTGTAAAAGTTTTATCACTGCAGCACCCTGTTATGCGGGGATTGTTAGTATTCATGTAGTCGTTAGTATTCATGTAGTCGTTAGCCTCCTTCGCAGACTTGTTGGGCGTCGGCGTTATTTCTTTCTGTGATCGACGCGAGCAATATGCCGCGGTGGGACGATTTTGCTACCGAGGGAGTTTTTTGCCGTGGAGAGAAGGTTTTGCGCTTCTTCTCTCCACGGCAAAAACTCCCGCGGCAGCAAAATCGGAAACGTAAAGAAAGTTTGTCTACCTCCCCAATCCAGTTGCACTGGAGCGGCTCAGGGTGTAGCGCAGTGCGTTTCTCTCCGAGAAGTTGATGGTGGTCTGCTTGCCTCTGGTCAGGCCGACTTCTTTCTTCTTCAGCGGGCAGCCGAACAGCTTCATCAGGTCATTCTACAGGCATTAGGAGTAACATTTGGAATTGATATACCGTATCTTTTATTTATATCTGATGCACTGTATGTATATCATTCTTCACATATCATTAAACACCAGTCCCTAGAGCTCAGAGTAGTGCTGTGTACCTAAACCGACGTTCAGGTCTAGGTCCAGATTTAAGTCTCGAGGTCTAGATAGGTTCAGGTCCGGACATGCAAGTCTGGACCTAAACCCAGGGCATATATACAAAATACGTGACTTCTCAGTTAACATTTTCCAACGGAAAATGGGGCATCTTAACCCGCAAATTTTTGTAGCGAGCACTGCGCTACCAGGGTTTAGAAGCAAGATATGTTGTTTGCGGGGCACGTCTGGGCAAAACTGTGGCCACATAATATACGGAGGCTGACACTTGACGATGCCCATAGCAATGTTTTCTTTCATTTTGCAGCGCAACTTTTTTTTACTATTGAATGTTTCAGCAGGCTCAGAGCTGAGAGTGATTGCAGGCAATACATTGAAATATTTTATTGCGACAGTCTCATTGCTAGTAGCAAATTTTCCTGTGGGTGGTTGTATGAGTGACACGCGTATCTAGAATGTTCTTTGGAAGTATAAAAATTGAATTATTAATAGAACAATGAGCAAGACCCGACTATAAAAGTTACCAAAATACTACAGAAATTGACTGACGTTAGTAATTCAGTTGAAAATATCATGGGTTGTCCAAATGAGACTGGCTTTTTTTGAATTAATATTTCATATCTTCTATCTATATCACTGTATCTATATCATTTTTCACATATTATAAACAGCAGTGCTGTAGAGCTCAGAGTGATTGCAGGATATACTTAGAAGGAGGCGATACATTGAAATATTTTATTGCGACAGTCTCACTGCTAGTAGGTGGTCGGTTTCAGAGTTCTGTAGTAGCGAATTCTCATGTTGGTGCTTGTATGAGTGACACGGGTATTTAGAATGTTCTTTGGAAGTTATCTAAATTTAATTTTTAATAGAAAAGTGAGCAAGTCACGACTATAAAAGCTACTGAAATACTAACAAAATTGACTGACATTATTCATTCAGTTGAAAATATCATGGATTGTCCAAAGAGAAACTGTTTTTTTCTTACTTATAGATAACAGGCGAAGCAAGGAGAGACAATTTAAAGATGATAGTAAGGCAAAAAAGAATCGGGTGGGTGCATTTGGCTAGCACTAGAAGGACATTGCTGCTACCAATATTGTGTCAGTCCCATGGCTTTCTATATGTGGCGTCACACTGTCAGCCACATTACTGAAACTGACATTTTAAATTAAAGCAGTAAAATATGATCCTTCTTCAGTGGAAATGTTTTCCAGATATATTGGTTCTTGCCTTAAATGGCCTTGTTTGACATTTTACGCTTCGTTACAAATTACATTAGATGGTTTTACTATGTGTGTGGAAACGAGAGTGGCGCCATCCCTTTAGGCTTTACGTTTCTTATCATGGCCAGTAAAATCAGACCATTGTTACACTTTTCGACCACAACTGAATTGCCACTTCTTGTAAAAATTCGTCAATTACTGAGGTGTTATACGGCTTAGGATAGCCCACGAACTGATTTATGAAAAATGGGGATGCATAAAGACCAGGCAAAGCTTTATAGAAAGTTCTAAGATCGATACCTCAACCTTGATCACATGAAAAGCGATAGACGTTCGTTTCAGTTCCCACGAGATCTGCATCTGGTGACACATTAGTGGGGTCGTGTGGCGTAAATGGTAGCATGATCGGCTCAGAACCAAGAGGTCGCGAGTTCAAATCCAACCAATGTCATATTGTGCCCTCGGGAAATGCACTTTACACAACTTTCCTCACTAAACTCAAGTGAAAATGAGTATTGCCTTGTCCTGTGTATGTTCTCTGACCAAATTTTAAACCAATTGTCTGAGCCGCCTTTGGCCGATTTGGGCCCGATTGCTCATACACTAGCTATCAGACCTTCTAATCTTCTCTGTGTTGGGAAATAATTAGTTTTCGTCCTTAATTTATCGGCTTTAGTCCAGTTACAATTATAAAATATAATGTCTAGACATGCCAACATCCTAGAAGCGCCCTGTGCAGCAACTGTCTTGGTTGCGGCATAAAATAAGTTGATAACTTGGGGGTGCCTTCAACATGTCTAATAATGAAATGTTGGAATAAAAAAGCAACAAAAAAAAAAACCTCACTCTGAACTTGTCGTTCATGAAGCTGTAGACGATGGGGTTCATGAAGCTGTTGGACATGGCCAGCCAGTATGCGCAGAAGTACAGCACCAGCGCCATATACTTGTTCCACACGAGCACCTCAGACTTGAAGTGCAGGATCAGGGTGAAGAGGTGGATCGGCAGCCAGCAGATGGCAAACATCAGCACCACAATGCAAAGCATCTTGATGGTCTGAAAGAAATGACAATGTTTGTTAGATAATGAAAATTGAGCCGTTCTCCAACTCAGGAAAAATGACTCGCCAGGAATTTTTAATCAAACCACTCGGTCTTCATCAGCTTTCTGACCCGAGTGCTGTAGACACGTGACTTTTACCCTCGTGTGACGTCAGCACTGGTTCAAAGTTCGTCGGTACCCCCCCCCCCAACCGTGACGGTTCAGCGAAGATTGATATGCCCGGATGTAAATGCCTTCCCTCACTCCTATCGCAGAATAATCACGTTCTATGTCCAAGATGTTAACCCCTCCCAGTGAGACAGTGTGGCCTGGAGACTGGATATGAATATGTTGTAAAAACTTCTGAAATCGAATTCAGGTCGAAAATTCCTGGTGAGTTTCTTGCGTTGGAGAACAATTTAACTTTCATTATGTATTTTGCCAACTCATATATATGAACATTCATCCTAGTATGCTTGTTGAATAATGTTCTCAAGGACTTAAGCTCGGACCGGATCATCGTTAGAAATATTTGAGCTTTGCATCTGCAGTTGTTGTACTTATCATGCTGCACCCGTATCCGTAGTGCAGTCTTCCTTCATTTCCACGCCAACTTTCATCTGAGGAGCGCTCAGAGATTTCTCGCTGCCGTAACAGGGCTCTGTAGGGCAATTACGTTTTCACCAAGTTTGATTAGATAACTTTCTCAACACAAGGTTAGGACTAACCTTGTATCCAGTTTATCGTGGTTGGGGCAGGCTGTCTTTGGGGCTCTAATAGTTTTCCCCCGCCCGATACAGCAGGCCGCCCGGGAGTTTTACGCTAATAGAGTTTTGCACGCCGGGAGGTTGATTTACCCCACCACAATCGTAGTGGGCCAAATCAAGCTCCCACCGTGAAAAACCTACCAGGGGAAACTAGCCAAGGCGGGCGGGGAATTACTCCTTCAACAGCCCCGACGAAAACCAACCCCACCACGGTAGACTGGATACCAGGTTAGGTTAGGACTCACCAAATTTGCAACCGATTGTCTGAGCCGCCTTAGGCCGATTTGGGCCCGATTGCTCATGCACTAGCTATCAGGCCTTCTAATCTTCTTTGTGTTGGGAAATAATTAGTTTTCGTCCTTAACTTATCGGCTTTAGTCCAGTTACAATTATAATGTCTACACATGCCAACATCCTAGAAGCGCCCTGTGCAGCAACTGTTATACCTCCATCAAAGCTATTACCTTTCCACACCTCTCAAAAGCTGTTTTGACACTTTGATATCAATTATTTTTCTAGGTAGAGACTTTCTACAATTCCACCAACATCTGTCACTCGTCGGTTTAAATCAACACGTACACATTATGCCGACCCTCCACACTGTGGTATGCCCTGACAAGGTGGTGTTGAAAAATGTAAACCTCACAGCAAGATCAGACCGAAAACTTACTAGTGGAGTATGTAATGACGGGAGAGGGAAGGCACGGGCCTGTAAAGGTCCCCGATGTTTTGCCCAAACACACCGCCCCCGGCGCCTGGCATGCTTGTCGATGACTTTTCGTGTTCTTTGATATGTCTACCTCCATTCTACCCTACTAAGGCAAGTCTGGAAGATTTGATATGGCATTATATAGTCGTTGACTGTCTAAACAAATCTTTCAAACTACTGCTCTCTTTGCTCAGCACCTGTTTATCATGAGTATATTATAGTATCGCAGTGAAACAGGCATCACTGCCAGTGGATAAGTCCCCTGCCGTAGGGCTTGTAAAGCTGTATTTCCTGATGGTTAATAACATGAAACGGGAACTGTCCACCTGCCTTATGCGACGAAAGACATTGGAACTATTGCATCTAACCATGAAGTAGAAAAACACCTCGTCCATGATCTAACTAACTAATGCTCTGATTGAGAATGGGCTGTTGTAAAATGTAATTACTGCACCATAATCGTAACGTATATGGGCCGAAAATGTACTTGGTTCTTGCTTTATTGTATACTCATAGTTTCATAGCTAAACTTCGTGACATGTATACATATACGTAACTAGAAGTAGTAACGGAGCTGTAAATGACGCTTACAGTAAAGTCTGTTGTTCGATGACCTGTCGACATTTGTTAACTACAAAGGAAAATTCCTACTTTCACACTACATGCATCCACGCCACATTAGCCAGCATTACATTCATTGATGATATAGCATGTGATCCGGACAAGCGATTATTTCTATGTTAATGCACTGTTTCACATAAATCACTATCCCAGGACACATTTCTTCATGTGTAAACGTACGTAAGTTGAATGGCCGCTGGAAGTATGTTTTATCTGTGACTGTGGCCTGAGATATATATGCAAATCATGCTTTGAATGTAGAAGCACTTTTGCCAGCTATGCACTTCGCAGAAACATTTCGTCCGAATCACTATACCATGAAACATTTATCCATGTACAAACTAATGTAAGTTGAGTAGACGCTGGAATTATGTTTTATCTGTGACTGTGGACTACATGAACCATGTTTTAAATGTAGATGCACTTTTGCAGGCTTTATACTTCGCAGAAACATTTCGTCCGTGCGATTGGTTTGAATGATCGGTAATGGCAGCGCGCCGAAACCCATCTAAATGTATGTTGTGTCGGGCGAAGAAGACAAATCTTGGTACTAACTCGAGGTCTGGAAGCTGATTGTAAATTTTCCCCCTTTAAACACATCACAGCATCCTTTCTTTTGAATCATAATTGTATGACGCACGATATAGGATGTCATCCAGACAAGAGATTATTTCTATGCTAATGCACTGTTTCACATGAATCACCATACCAGGAAACATTTCTTCATGTGTAAACGTACGTAAGTTGAATGGCCGCTGGAATTATGTTTTATCTGTGACTGTGGACTACATGAACCATGTTTTGAATGTAGACGAACTTTTGCCAGCTATGCACTTCGCAGAAACATTTCGCCCGAATCACTATACCAGAAAACATTTCTTCATGTGTAAACTTGCGTAAGCTGAATAGACGGAATCATGTTTTAAGTGTGACTGTGGACTACATGAACCGTGTTTTGAATGTAGACGAACTTTTGCAAGCTATGCACTTCGCAGAAACATTTCGACCGCGCGATTGGTTTGAATGATTGGTAATGGCAGTGCGCCAAAACCCATCTAAATTTATGTTGCGTCGGGCGAAGAAGACAAATCTTGGTACTAACTCGAGGTCTCGAAGCTGATTGTAAATGACAACGAGCCTCAACACATGCACATTTGAACACACTAAGTAACATTCTTTTTTAGAAACTATTGCAACAACGCACGATTTTGCATGAAAGTTCATTTGTATTGGTACAAGGCATTATGAAATAAAGACTCAACTTTCTCTGCCAACATTCAAATGAACTGGGGCTTGCTTGGGTAAGTCCCAATCCATTAGAGTGTTGGCAGAGAAAGCTAAAACTTTATTTCATAACGCACGATTTTGAAATGCAATTTCAATATTATCATTACAATATACATCGGTAACGATATAGATATCGAGTTCTAGTTTTGAGATATCCTGCTGCTGAATTAGCCGTCGTAAACTTGGCTAAGAAAATATACATTCAAAGTACATTATCAACAACAACCAATGGCATAGGAGCATTTTTTTCGCGCCGATGGCAACAGAATTATCTATCTCGCCATGTGTTTAGGGAATCCCCCTTCCCCAAGACATGTAATAGACATCATAAATCCCTCTCCAAGTTTTACGATTTATATCGTCCTCCCGTTCTATGCTTCATTTTTATTGCTTGCCTGTGGCCAACATTATTTCTCAACGAAGAGGTTGAGTAAAAATGGAGTTGTTCTGCAAACTGTGTATATCTGATTTGCAGCTCATCCACACATTCAACATCTCGTTTTTTGAGGCTTCACGATATTAGAATTAGGGCTAAACTACAGCCTATATGGGCTTCATGAATAGAAATTGTTTCCAACAATACGATTATCTTACAGTTGATGACTATAAGCTCCTTATACTTGCCAAGAGCGCCATCCCGACTTAAACTTAGTGGCAAAAGATATTGAAGTTGCCATTGATTTTGAGATTTGTTCTGAAACATTGACTTTGCATTGTCACATGCCCTACTCAGAAATCAGTGTACGTTGGAAAATTCATATCCGAATCACTACAAAACTGACACCATACTGTAAAAAAACTGACATATCTCCTGAATTATAGAATGTAATAATACTCTTCCAAAGAAAAACATACAATAGATTAGCTTTGGTAAAATTGAAATTCAGTCTCTAGTACAAAACATGTGAAGGTTACCTCTGACTCTGTTAAAATTGTATATATTTAGTATAGTTCATGTATCTACTCTTGTCACTTCTTTGCCATGCATTGCACAAGTTACAGTTGTTGAGCAATAAAGTGGGTTTGATTTGATGTAATTTACAGTATAAAGTGTGGACATTCGGCATAACTGGATGCGAAAGGATATAGGCACAGCATGTCGTGAATTTGTTCTTCAGGGACGTATGCATCTCCGACATTATACCCATAAACGAATCCCAGCTCAAACCAAAGGGAAATCCGTCAATTGTTCAGGCGAAGGTTATATTCTGGTCCATGCGTCAAACGTCTTCTGAGATAACACGTGCTTTTCCGGTTACAGGGACGCATGCGTAAATTCAAACTACAGGCACGACGAGAAAAACGTTAGAAAAGATATTCAATTTAGAAACTTTTCAACGCTGATGTACGCTATAGAGTGGTTGGTTTCCTTGACTTTCCTTGTAGTATCATAATGTTGTTCCTGTGCGCTCGAAATCATTTTATGTCTATGAATATTCTACGAGTCGACACTAAAACGCATTCACAAGGACACAATCTAGACACTGTCAAAGAATTACACACTTGCAAAACATTATGTATAAATTGAGCTCCTCAACCTATCGATTTGCATTTTACTGAAATAAGAAGAAGGAAGAGATCGACTATCTTAGCCTTCAAAATGTCAACCTACAGGGTATAAGTTGAATCAG